CATTTTACTGCAACCAAGAAAGTCATAGAATTTTCTACACACATTGTGGTGGATTTAAAAGAAAATTTGCTGCATTTTTTACTTTGCAAGAAAGAAATTACTTCAAGTCATTCAGTGACTCTATTGAATAAGCACATACATCCAGGCTAATAAACACAAGGAGGTTTGCATTCACTAAGGAAAGTTATTCTAACAGCGATCTCTGAAGGTACACAATTAATAACAATGTCAATTTACAAGGTTTTTAAGGTAAAATTTAGAGGGAATGAGGCATTCTCCTAGCACATATAATTATCAAACCAGCAACTTTTAAAATTTTATTTTCTTCACAGGGATGTTCTTTTAAGGATTTTCTACGTTAATAAATCTATTAATATCAATATGAAATAGTATTATGAACATTACACAAAATACATTTATCTCTTATTTTGGACAAAGAATAACTATTAAAGTCATCATCCAACATAACAGGCACTCATTTGTTAGAAGCCTGACGTTGCCAAAGGCTCTATTGTCTCTGAGTCTAAAGTCTAGTATAAAAACCCAGTATACAATTTTTCTTTATTCTCCAGTCCCACCCCAAGGAGTCAAAAGTATTTTAAAGAAGTTTAATTTCCTCCTCTTAAAAAAAAATTTTTTTTTAAATTTTCTTGTCAGGAATGGAAAATTCCAGGGCAGTCATGGCCAGTAAAACTGTGCATTTGTACAGTTCAACACTGCGCAGCTAACTCCGTCGTGAAATTTGGCAGTGACCCACACATATTAAAAGTGGAGAGTCCCCAACTTATTTGAAAATTTACCTACTTCAATTATCCCTCCAACCTATTGCAATTTGATTTATAATCTGCTGTTTCAACAGAATAAATGAACCCATTAAAAACAAACATACTGTAGATATTTATATCGGGAATAACATCTCTCCGGGGAGGACGCAAGTTATGGAAAGCAGAAACACTGCAAGGAAGTAACAAATTGAGGTCCCGCTTTTCTAATGGAGGGTTGGAAATTGAGTTCTGCTTAAACAAGCAGGGGAAAGAAAATAAAAGATGTGATTATTTTTCACTCGTTAGCATTTAAGTCAGTAGCAGGAGATTTCACAAGTTACAGATAGATTTTGAAGAAAAAAAAAATAGATTCGGTAAAAATGTTGCTAAGTGTAATTTTTTGGTAGCCACCTATGCAAATGATTGACAGAAAGGCGGATTCTTCGCCTGTGCGACACTGCGTTGAACTGTGCTGGGCTGAACCATGTCTGTGGCTTCAAGACCAGATCCTGTCTCGGAGGGTTGCCCACGGGATTCCAGGCGAGCGCAGCATATGCAGGCCTGCCCAGATCTGGTTCTAGGACAGATGGGCTTTTATGACACACGATGGCCTGTTCAACAGGCTTGTAAATGAGATATAATCTTGTCTATGATTAATATTTTCCCTTACATAAAGATTTGAAAGGTACAGCATGTCACTTTCTCTATCAATGTGGTACGTATGCTACTAATCTCCAGGATATTTCAAATTTTATGTAACAATAAAATCGAGATCCTCAAATAAACATTGTTTTTCCTCAAAGTCTGCATACAGCATTTCCATTACATGGAGGGCAAAGTGGAAAAATATGTTCAGGGTTTCACTTTGATTCCCACAGCTTCTTTTGTCAGAGGCCACAGGCCTATTTAGAATTATTATTCCAAGTGTAGTTCCTCTCAAATGAATTAACAAATGGTAGACGACCATTTTTCTTGCAGTCGTACGTTTAAAGGACCCGGCACGCCACTGCTGCTCGTGTGGAAAATGAAATTAGTCCCTCGGAGAGGATATGATTGGTGCTGTGTTAATCTAACCTTCAGCTGTTAATGATTTGCACAAGGGTTCCCCGTGATGCTGTAGTTTCAACTGAAATATTGTTCTAAGAGTGTCTGTGAAATGCCCTCCGCGTCTTTTGCTGAGGGATGGGGTGGATAGGGTCCTGAGCATCAGCCTCCTTCTCTGCTTCCATCTGGGTGCTGTTGTTTTTAACAGCAATACAATAAACAAAAATATTTTAAAATTTTATGTTCAGATAATTGCTCTGCTGTAGACAAAAGGCTATGAATGATAAAATCCATTGCAAAACTTACAAAACTATGCACACTTCATAATTTAGAATTGCTGTGCACACCTACCAGAACAAAAAAGAATCCATTTGCTGCTCTCATTCAACATACAACTATAGAAAAATAGGCTCCAAATTCAAATTCACAACCTTTTACCTTTCTTCCAAAGGGCATCAGAGCTAGTGTTAGTTAAAGGAGTGTTATGGATAGTGGAATGTGAAGGGAAACAATTGCATATCTCTCTGTCTCTCTCTGTCTCTCTGTCTCTCTCTGTCTCTCTGTCTCTCTCTCTCTCTCTCTCCTTTCTTCTCCCCATCTTCCTTGTGCTTTGAGGGTTTGTTGTTTTTTTTTAGCAAAAATATTTTTCTGATTCTTGCACATCCTGTTATAACTCTGTACCATTTTAAATCACACTGCTAAGCAGAATTATAGTACTGAGGATGCAGTTTTTATGTCCAGTCATTACAATGTTATGATAAGAGAACAAGCAAATTTCACTTTGACCAAAGCTGAACTTGAAAGAGCAGAAGAAATGCTGAAGCATTCATTCAACTTGATGTCTCCTGGAGTGTTTAATAAATTCATTTCAACTCCACAGAATATGTGATCCGTAACTGCACCTGCAGGGCACCTCCCAGTTACCAGGTTGATTTTACAGCTCATCACTTGTTCCATTTCCATAAACCTACACACTTCACTTTCTCAGAATAAACTACAGTAATCAAATGGGTATTTTTCAATAGCCAGATCTATGTATCCTCTGAGTATGTTGGATGTTTTTCTTGTTCAATTCTGTTCAAGGAAGAGATAAAATAGAGGATGTTATATATAATTGGTAAATTCTTATTTAGGGTATTCCGGGAATTAACTGCACAGAACTTGAGATACAGCCTTTGATTCTGAAACAGTATACAACCATACAAGTCGTTTTCCAGAGACCAATTATTACTGTAATTATTGTTATAATTATTAGTGTATACCTATTAACCTACCTTGCTTATAGTGCCCTTTATGAAATAAATTTTACTTTTAGGTTAACTCCCTCTCTAGACAATTTTATGCCATTGTATGAAATGATTTCACATTTTCTTAGCTTTCTTTAAGTTTTCATTTCATTTCATTTTTTAAAAATCTACCTTGGTTTCCCACTGGGCAGTTCATAGAAACATTCCTAAGTAATGAGCACTGGTCAGAGGTGAGGCCCTTACAACAGCATGAGAAGCAATGGGTGGGAAGCAGGGATGAGAACATCCATGAGCAGCACAAGGCAAGCCCTTCGGAGGGAATCTTCCCTCACCCTCTGCCTCTTGTGAATCCTCATGGGTTTCTCCTCTACACACATTCTCATTTCCTCGTTCGGAAATGTAGTAGGTGTGGGGGTCCAGAATGAGTCACCCCAAGTATGCCTCTGAGGTATGCAGACTGTTTTGAGCTAAAATCAACTTTAGCTGCAAGCTCGAGGGAAACTTCTGCCCGGCCGCTTAACTACATAGAAGAATTTCAATGAGATGCCTTGCCCAGGAGACACGCTCAGCGATAATGCTCTGTGACCCATCCATAGAGCAGAGTAAACTTCTATTTACTGAGGTTCTGCTCTTCTTATCCTCCAAGGACCCTTTGAAGCCCCTAAGACACCTCACTTCCTCCCTGGCTCAGGATGTCTTATATACCCGTGTGTCCTTCTATCTCTGAACCTCTACATGTGGGTCTCTGACTCCCGCATGTATGCAGGGTTACCATGCATATGTATGTATTAAATTTGTTCTTTTCTCTTGCTAATCTGTCTCCTGTCTACTTAATTATTAGACCAGCCAGAAAAACCTTGAGGGTGGATGAAAGTCTGTTTCTCCCTCATATGGTCATTTATTGTTGACTATTGTTTGGTCTCATCATCATCCAACTTTATCATTTACATAACACTATGAGAACATTAAATATTGTTTAAAAAAACAAAAACAAAAACGACCATGTACCAAACATTATTCCAGGCAAAGGAGTTCATAATGTGAACAAAGAACACCTCTTGCTGTCAAGGTGCGTGCATGCTAGCAGGAAGGGCTTGAGGAAAGTAGGTAAGACGATGCCACGACACAATCCTACGTCTGGGGTAAGCACAGGATCTATGGGACCATAATGGAGTGGTGTCTAATGTACGGTTGGAAAGCAAATATGATTTGCTGAAGATATGATTCTTTAAGAGAAGTCTATGCCTAGACCTAAGACATGAATCAGAGTTCACCACATGGGTGACATTCCAAGCAGAGGGAAACAGGTATGACCTCTGGGCAATGGTGTGAAATACAGTCTGGAAGGAACAAATATTGCAAAAGAGGGACCAGCAATAAAGGGAGCAGAAGCAAAGAGGGATAGACCAAGGCCCCCAGAGAACAGGAAAGGAATGCATACATTATCCTCGGGGGATATGGAACATGTGAAGAGTTTCTACCAGATCCACATTATGGAAATGTTTGGCTGCACAGGAGGTGGACCTATGGACAGGGGACCACTTAGGAGACCACTGCAGTGGTCAGTTTCATGGGGTTTTTACTAAGAAGTGTTTGCACACCAGATTTCTGGAATAGGTGAATTTTCCTAAAACAAAATTATTTTTTCAGTTGATAACTAATCTATAACTCAGGGCCGGGACTAGGGTAAAGCAAATGAAGGACACTCTTCAGACATAAAATTTAAGGGGGCACTGATTAGCTCAGTAATCCAGATAAATAATATTTAGAGCAGTAATTTTTTTGGTAATGAATGGAAAGAAAAATCCATAACGAACAAACTATCAAAATTTTAAATAATGATAGCATATGAATTCTTTGGAGCTGTATGTGCAAATAAATTGCTTCTCCATCATATGTGAGAATTTCAGTCGGTTCCTTCCGTACTGCTAACCAACTAATTCACCTTGGAAGCCGCGACACAACACCAGCTGATATCGATGTCAATGCATCATCCAAACGACCTGGGGGCTTCCCTTTTCGAATCCAGCTGACAGCTAGTTCAAGCAGCATCAAGGAAATGAAAAATGGAGTTGCCTGAAAAGGAAATTGCAGAAAGGAGATGCTGTTGAGCTCGGTATGAAACTCTCACATTTCCTCATTAGTCATCTCAGAAGTGGGAGGTCCAGAGTGACATCTCATAGAAGGAGCTGGTATACACCTTTCCTAGAGGATCATGTTCTTTTAACACACACATTTGATTATTTCAGGCATACACTAAACAGGTCCTCCATTCCATCAACTGATTTGGAAATAAAATGTAAACAGATGTAACCATGATAACAGCACCAAGAAAATAAGAGTAGAAGGGACATGTTACAAGTTGGAGCTAAAAAATATATTTCAAAATAAGTGCAAAAATCACAAGTCTATTATCTACTTATGACTAATCTAGACTCACTTTAAAAGGTATTCCTTAGCCCTGGCTGGTTAGAGTGTCGGCCTGAGGACCAGAGTCGTGGGTTTGATTCCGGTCAAGGGCATGAACCTCGGTTGTGGTTCATCCTCGGCTCTGGTCAGGGTTGCGCTGGAGGCAACCAATTGATGTTTCCCTCTCACATAGATGTCTCTCTCTCTCTCTCTCTCTCTCTCTCTCTCTCTCTCTCCCCCTCCCCCTCCCCCTCCCCCTCCCCCTCCCATTCTATCTGAAAATAAATGGAAAAATATCCTCGGGTGAGGATTTTTTTAAAAAGTATTCCTTAAAGATGTACACATTCTAATTTTTCATATTCGTATTAGTATCACAGGAATGAAAAAATTGAAACGGAACAAAGAATATTCTTCTGAGTATTTCAAAAAATAAGGTCATTGTAAATGTTTGAAGCATCATTCAAGTTTTATTTGTTCAGCTTTCATTTTGTTTTACATAATAGGTGTTATTAGGCTCCACTACCGATGACCAAATGTTGGACTAGGTTTGGTGTGACAAAATAAAAAAAATAATGATTTTTAAAAACGTAAGTACCACATTTTTTTTCTTTAAAAAAAAAAAATCAGAAAGTAGGAGTAATATCACATCCTGAAAAAGTTATGGGTTTCACTCATTTGGAAGCTAATAGTGAGTTTTAAAGCGTTCAAAACTGAACTCCCAAGAACATATTCTCTGATGTCATATTATTTTTTCTATTTCTAGTCTGAACTAGTAAGTGTTGTAGGAACAACTTTGACAGGGTGGGGAACTTCAGTATTCAAGTTCTAATTCTGGATATTTCCATTTCCAATCATAGCCAGGAACCGAAAGTGAAAAGTACCTCTAAACACTTCAGAGTTTCAAAGAAAACTTGGTTCAAGTTCAAAGTTAGGAAGTCAGAGTTGGACTCAGTCAGCTGTGTATCCATTCTGCTGAACTACTCTACCAAATGAAGGAGGAACTAGTTTCCTGGGAGGTAGTGGACAAGTTCCCCTTTAAAAGCAAAATCGTTACAAGTTTACTGATGTCAGCTTCTGTCGGCTAACTGCACTGTCACTGGTCTAGGAAATCTTTTGAAAAGGTTTTGTATTATTCTGGAGTGAGGTATCAGGGGAAGGAAATTTACGAGAAGATGGTTTGGATATTGTATGGAAACCCAGTTCAAGTAGAAATTCTACTATTGCTCCTATTCTACTATTGCTACTATTATGAAACAGAATTACTTTTATTAGAATTTCATAATTTGAAGAATGAAAGTAAACAAAGCCCCAAGATGTGTTTCACTTCTTATTAAGAAAAAGCAAGCACAGCCTCTTCCCAGACAGTCTCACCTGTTTTACATAATCAGGCACCTCTTCTGGGGTTTGGAATGTCGTTTCATTGGGCTTCATCACGTAAAACATCATGCGGATTCCCTGGGAGAGGGAAACATCCTGTTGGGCTTCTGGGTTCTTCATCTTTGCCCTGGTCTGATTCCCAGCTGGAGAGTATTTGCGATTCGGGGGTGGAAGCCAGCAGCGGGACAAAGGAGACTAGATGGGCTTCACAGAACAAGCCCTTTGTCAGGGCACAGCCAGAGACAAGCTGCGTTGAGAGGACAGCTAGCAGCAGATTCTGTGCAGAGAGGAAAACGCTGGGATCAAGAATGAGTCCAAAGTTAAATGGGCGGTGTCCCAGATTCTCTGCATGTAGGGGAGGGAGCAGTATTATCGCCCAAATCAAAGACAAACAGTGGAGTTTGGCTGTGGGTGGAGTAACGGATCAAAAAAAAAGATAAACAAGCAAAAGAAAAACATGTGATACCTCCTTGGAAAGGGGAAGAAAAAGAAGTGTGAACAGGTGAAAGTTCACTCTGAAAAAGTGAGCAGAAATTCAAGACTCAAATCACATGAGGAAAATTCATTTTCTCCCCTCCCTTTTGAAATTCACTTGGTGTTCAAGTGTGTCATCTCCCCTCTGGAAATTTCCTGAAAAGACAGGGTGCTCTAATCGCATTTCACAAGGCGAAGCTTGACAGTCACGAAGCACTGAAGTGTCACGCTGGGACATTTCTGGACCTGTCGTGTGAACTTCGGAGTGTTTGCACAGCAATGTAAAGGCGTCTGGCTTGTTACGTGGCTTAAGCTGTTTAGTGGAATCTTGACTAGTCACATCTGTGTTGTTGAAATTTACAGGAACCAACTGATGGAGAAATGCCCCCAAGAGGCGGCTGGGAGGCCTGATCTTGGTTCTCCGAGGAGCTTCAACGATTTGTTTCTTGCAGGGAGAGGGCACTTGATGGCACCACTGGTGAATGACGGAGCCTCCCCTACAGCCTCAAGCCTTCCCCTAGAGAAGCTGTATTCATACTTCGGCTACCACCTAATCTTTTATTTTAAAAATGTTTATGTAGATTTAATTACATTAATAATGATTGTTTTGGGGGAAAAAATAGAAACTATAGATAAACAACAAGTAAATTACTACCCAGAGACATAGTCAGTTCCACTGTCATGTGATTTATGTGTTGCTCAATATCATTCTATTATGCAAGATCGTGCAATAAAAACCATTGAGTTGCCCTGGCCAGTTTGGCTCAGCGGTTAGAGCGTCAGCCTGCGGTCCAGAGAGACCCAGGTTTGGTTCCTGCTAAGGGTGCGTATTTGGTTGCAGTTTGTCCCAGCGCGTTTGTCCCCAGCCCTGGTTGGGTCATGCCACTCAATGTGTCCTTTTCACGTCGATGTTTCTCTCTCTCTCCCTCCCACTCTATCTGAACAAAATATGGAAAAATGTCCTCAGGTGAGGATAAAAATAAAAAAAAGAAAACCATTGAGTTTATGAAGAAAATGGGATTAGGATGCAATACTCAAAAACTTTGTAAGGACCCATAAGGAGGGGGAAAAGATCAAAATTTAATAAAAATGGTAGCACAATGCAAAAATACTGCAACAGATATGCTGCTTTGTCTTGAAAAGGACCTGAAGTGGGCAATGGAAGAGTTACAGGCTGTGTTATTGTGGAGGATGAGAAGGAGGCTCATTAGAAGTTAGGCAGAAAGTTGTAAAACCACATATGGACACCATGGCTCTAATGCACAGCTGAACCGAGGATACTGCTAGGTGTTTAAGCATGTGCACCTGTGTACATTTTGTGTCTTCCTAAACCTCAGGTGGGTGCAACCTGTAACATTCACCTGGTGTCTCTCACTGATAAAATCACATGCAAGTATGAATGACCAGCTCAGCTCATTCCCTAAAATATTAATCCTGTTTGGAACAAATTTGCACTTTCAAAATATTGTAAAATTGATCACACTCTCGGATAGTTCCCATGGCAAATGAATACTTATGGACATACATATTTAATAAAAGTAATCAGACTGGGCACAGTGTTTTATTACCTGCTTTTAAAATTTTTTGAAATTACAAATATAATGTATTTTGGGAGGAAAAAAATCCAAACAACATAAAGCAATATAAAAAGTAAAAAGTAGCCCTGGCCAGTTTGGCTCAGCGGTTAGAGCGTCGGCCTGCGGTCCTGAGAGACCCGGGTTCGGTTCCCGCTAAGGGCACGTACTTCGGTTGCAGTTTGTCCCCGGCTCTGGTTGGTCGTGCGGGTGACAGCCACTCGATGTGTCCCTTCACGTCGATGTTTCTCTCTCTCTCTCCCTTCCTCTCTCTCCCTCCCACTCTATCTGTACAAAAAATGGAAAAATATCCTCGGGTGAGGATAAAAAAAAAAAAAAGTTAAAAGTAGCTGTACCCCTTCCTCTCAACACACACATATTCCTCCCTTCAACTTCACAACAACTACTTGTCCTAGTGGGTATTTTGCCATACCTGTTTTTCTTAAAATGGCTGTTATCATCATTATTACCATCATTTAAATGCACTTTAACACATATAAATGTGTTTAAAGTCAACGCATTGTGGAATTTTTTTCTTCTCATTGATTTTTAGGGAGAGAGGAAGGGAGAGGGAGAGAGAGATAGAAACATTGATGAGAGAGAACATCAATTGGCTGCCTCCTGCATGCCCCCCACTGGGGATCAGGCCCACAACCTGGGCATGTGCCCTGACCAGGAATCAAACAGATGACCTCTTGGTGCATGAGTCAATGCTCAACCACTGAGCCACACTGGCCAGGCTGAACTTTTTTTCTAACAGTCCATATTAAAAATAAGATAGAGCAACTTTTCTTCTTGGAGTCAACAACTTAACAGGACCATTCTTCCACTCAGTATATGGTTATACAGCTGTTTTTTTTAACTGGCTGCAAAGATGTGTGTGTGTTCCAAGCAGGAAAACAAAAATATTTTAAGTATTTAAAGTAGCGGAACTTGAATACAAAGAATTAATTACAGAGCTGATGGAGGAGGTAAAAAGCCAAGTGGCAACAAAGAAGCAATGTAGAGATTAGTATCAATAGGAAGTCACTTGCATCCTTAAGTTATAGGGACAAAAGGAGGAGGTTGTATCAGCTGAGCTTAGGGGCTGGGTCACCCAGAGAAAGTTAGAACCACAATGGGCCTGTCAAGCAGGTGCACAGAGGGAATGGAAAAAACGGCTGTGGCTTCTCCTGCCTAACAGTCTCCACGCAGTACCTCTCATTGGCCTCAATGAGTCAAAAGCCAGTTGAGAGAGGAGCCTAGGAAAAGAAGTCTGAGGGACCCGTCCTTAGAAATACACAGCAAGGAAGGAGAAAGGGAAGAATGTATCCAAGAAAAAAGTCAACAGAGGACCATTACGCCATCATAACTTACTTAACTCTTTCTCCATTGTTGTGCAATTAAGTGTAGTCTTCCATTTGTAGTTAATAAAATATAATGCATCAATGAACATCATGTATAAATATCTTGTACATTTGTGCACATTTTTGCACTAAATAGGTTCCTAGCAGTGGAATTATATTGCTGGAGGATATGTCAAATCTGTGCTTTGATTATTGCTGCCAAATCCACCTCCAGAATTGTCTTTCACTCTTGCTAACACTGGCTACTATCAATTTTTTACAGTTTTAGCCAATTGATGGGTTCAAAATGTCATCTTGTTTTAATTTGCATTTCCTGAGTGACTATGGTAATCATTTCATTACATTTATTAGCCATTTGTTTTGCTTCATGTGTGATTTATTTTTAAATATAATCTTGCACATGATCTCTTTACATTGTCTTTCTGTATTGGTTTACAAGCTATTGGCATTCTGTATCTTACATATATCTCTCATGCATGTGGCAAATGTTTTCTCAGTCTTTATTTTCTTTTAACTGTGTTACGTATGTGTTCTTATACAGCAATTATAACTTGGTGTGTGCTATTATCTTTTATTTTGTTACTTCTGCGTCTGGGTCTTGCTTATGAATGGTTTCCTCACCACAGTTCTATACACATAATCTTCTATGTTTTCCTCAAGAATGTTTACAAGTTTTTTGTAAAAAAATCCATTGGTCACCTGGAGCTTAGTTGTGTATAGGGCGTGAAGTCATTATTTCATCATTCCCTATCTGCCCTGGATGGATAGCAGTTCTTCCCATATAATGAGTAGAGTCCATACTTTAACACTATTCTTCTACATATCTGTACTATTTCCAGGCTCTGCCCTCTCTTGCATTAGTTTGTCTATTTGTTCTGATACCATATTGTCTTAATTATTGTACAATCATAATAAATTCTGATAACTTGAATCATTTCTCATTTATGAATATTATTTTTCAAACACTTAACTTTTTCATATTTGCTCTAATGGGTCTAGTTAGACTAAACTTGAAAGAATTCTATTAGCACTTTAACTGAAACTTCATTAAATTCATAAATTGATTTGGAAGAATTGACCTCACAGGCACTTAATAAAATTATCTGGCACAAATAACCATATACACTGCACTCATTTAAATTTAGTTCTGTGTTTAAATGGCACCAATGTTCATGACCAATCCTCATATTCCTTATCTTCTCTATTCTTTTTTTGTTGTTCTGGTGTAAATTGCAAAGTTTTTTTTTCTTTCTTTCTTTCTTTTTTCCAGAAGGTTACATATATAACTGCATATCTTACTATACTAATTTTACCTTTATATAATAACTTGGCTAAATATAAAATTTCTCATTCAAAAATGTACCCCCCAATTCCATAGAGACAAAACTCTTTGACAGAAAGTCTGCCAGGTAAAGCCAAGGTTCATAGAATAGAGAGGACTTTAAATCTCTACCTGAACCAGAAAGGGGAAGCCCAGGATAGCTCCAGGTGCCTTTCTATCCACATACCTACATCAGATTTCTGTCCAAAGCTTCCCAGTCATGGGGCCCTGCTCACAGTCATTTTTTTAAAAATCCGAATAAAGTGGAGATGCTTGGGGAGAGCTTGATGTGAGTGACAAGCATCCTGTGAAAATGCAAGACATGAAAAGCTACTACTTTTAGCGCGCCCGTTTGCAAATAAATCAGCACAAAAAGATTTCAGAAGCTTTTTGTATTGAAAAGACAAAATCAAACAAACAAGTGATTAGAAATCTCTAGTCACATTGATAACCGTCCATTCAGGAAAAAGAAATCACAGCAGTTCAAACAGGGGAAGTTTAATATAAAAAATCGTCAG